GTTGTTCAGCAAGGGAGGACTCGGGCAGGGCAGAGGAGCTGGCAGTTTTGGGACTCGCCACGGAGAAAGGGGTAGAGGCGATGTGTTGTAGAATGAAAAGGTCCCAAAGGAAAAAGAAAAGATACCCAGCACGGGAAATAAGCAGATGGGCAGAGCTTTGATGGCAAATGTGGAATTCTGATAATGATGTGAATGGGAAAAGAGAGAAAGGCCCATAGTTTGCGGAGGTGGAGAGGTCCTAATGTCCGATGTCACTGCAAGTCCGGCCAACAGTCCACTTCAGTGCTGACGAAGCACCTATAGTGGGTACCGCTAACTTCGAAGCTTTCCTACGGAGTACGGCAAGAGCCAATGCTGAGTGGCAGGTGGAGATGGGCGGCAGGCAGCATGTTGATGCATGTGTCGCTGAACTTGGGAGTCCCATTGAATCTGCCACCGTCAATGTTGGCACATATCAGACGACCAACTTGCTTCCTTGCCTCTGCCGTCGTCGCTTGCTTCTCGGTAAATATGTAGTTGTCTTAAACCAACCCTAGGTTATAATCTCAATTAACCGATACAGAACCGTGCTGACTAAAAGCAGTGTTGCGGTTTTGAAAGTTAGATAAAAAGATGAAGAAATCAAAAAGAAGAAAAAGTCATCAAGCATAACCAACACATTTTCTGGTGAACAGCAGGTGTCGAACAGAATATTTGTCAACTTTGAATCATCCCCCTTTTGTCTATGCATAAAAGTGACATGTCTAACCCAATCATACGCTACCGTCATACGTCTCTCAGTCATCCTGAAGACAGTGCATCTAGCCCGATATCTTACGCCAGGGTCTTGGCCTCGCCATCCTTGAGCTTGCCAGCATCAACAAGCCTCTTGACCTCGTCGCTCCAAACAGCCTTGATCTTGTCAGCCACAGTCAGACCATTAAGCTTGCCGGCCAAAGCAGCAATCTCATCTGGGTCAATTTTTCCCTGGACAAGCTCGACATCTCCCAAGACGGCATCGATCTGGGCAGCCGACGCATCGCCGCCAGTGGCAAAGTAGTTGGCATCCTTGACGGAACCCTTGAGCACACGCTTGTTCTTCTTGACGGCATTCTTAGCAGCTTCCTTGGCCTTCTTTGCAGACTCGCGGTCGGCTTTGGCAGCAGCCTCGGCCTCAGCCTGGGCCTTCTCTTCGGCTTCTTTCTGGGCTTTGGCGTCCTCAGCGGCCTTCTTCTCGGCAGCCTCTTTTTCCAGACGCTTCTTATTCTTGGCAGCATTGGCTTCCTGTCTAAAGCGCTTGATACGCTCATCACCAGCAGACGCTTCATCCAGTAGCTTGCGGAGACGCGCGTTGTCTTCGGCCTTCTTCTTCTTACGGGCGTTGGCGTTCTTTCTCTCAACATGGCGCTTCTGGTCACGGTTCTCGTTGTCATCGGGGACATCCTCGTCAAGGTACTCGAAGCTGCGCCACGAGTCAAAGTTGTACCAGAAGTTGTAAAAGTCTTCAACATGCTCCTTGGTGGAATCAGCGTTACCAAACGTAGGTACGGGGTGAGTCTTGGAGAATCGGCCCTCAGACTTGAAGACCTTGCTCCAGAGCTTGTAGAAATCACCCTTTTGGAGCTGCTTCTTGGTGGGGGGTTCAACATCGGCTTCCTCGTCGACAGAGTCATACTGGCGGCGCTTGACGGGGTCAAGGAGAACCTCGGTGGCTTTTTGGATACACTTGAAAAATTGGTCGTCTTCAGTACGGCCCTGGGCGGCCTTCTTGTCGGGGTGATGCTTCAGAACCTTCTTGCGGTGGGCCTTCTTGATCTGGTCCTCAGTAGCCTTCCAGCGGTACTTGGAGAGGCCCAAAATCTTGTAGTGATCCTGGGTCTGTTGGATTGACAGGTTAGCCTCGCAATTCGTACTTGACTTGGTCCACAGGGAATATCCATACCTTCCAGTCCTTGGCCTCACGCTGCAGCATCATGGGATCCTCAGCTTCGCTCTCATCGCTCTCATCTCCATCCTCGACCTTCTTGGCGCTCTCCTGGGCCTGGATGCGATCGTCCTCGGAGAAAGTGCGCTTGTGGCGAGCTCGGCGGGCGTGGGCCAGGAAGTGAGGGCCAACAGGCTCAATGCTGCGCTGCACGGCGCCAGACAGTTGCCCAATGGCCTTGAAGTCCTTCTCGGCACTCCATCCTTCAGGAAGAATGGGGAGAGGCAGGTCATTGACCTGCATAACGGTAGCCATTGTGATACTGCACCTGGGTGGTCGGCAATGGATGAGGATAAAGGCTGAGTGAGGGCTCGCACTTTTTTTTTCTCTTCTAGTAGACTTGTCAAGAGTTGGTGGGGTCAATTGCGCTCCAAATCGGCGGGCCCCTGTAGGCACCGGAAGACGGCCGAACCTGGCTCCGCTAGCATTACTGTTGCATCGCCCAGTTGCCTTCATGTTTGGTGCTTTGTATTGGAAGAAGGCATTGCAAATACACACGACAGGGCGCTAAACCTTCGCAGCGTCCGACCATGGCTCTGGTGGCATACAGAAATTTAATGCGCGCAGCACGCATTGCCTTTCAAGGTATGCTAAATACATGTCCTATTTCCAAATTATGCTAACAGAGAGGCTTCAAGGCGACGCCCCAATCCTGGCTGCCGCTCAGCAACGAATTCGCCACGAATTCCGACAGAAGTCCTCTCTCAACTCGTCTGACGCTTCTACTCAAAAAGCTATTCAGCATGCGCAGGAAGTGGCCAACTTTCTGAAAGCCAATGTGGTCCAGGGAAAGCGGATAGAAGGGGGGGAGAATATGTACCGTAGGTTTGCGTAATATGTGAGGACATGAAGAGGATATGCATTAGCTGACCGCGTGCTTAGAGCTTCGAATCCATGAACACACCGAGAGAGGCGACAACGACAGTATAAAGACTGCAGGGAGCGGCACAGTTGGTGGCGGGTGCTGCGGTGGCAACGGAAGCTAAACAGACGTGAAAAGAACGGAAGGCAATACATGCATGTACAATAGTGTATATTTACTCCCTGGTACGACGGTACGCCTGTCATGATACCCGCGCAACCAAAATATATAGAATTATGACACCCGGCCAATTTCAACCAGTTGATCCCTACGGCATCCGCTTTATACTTCTCCAAATTGCCCACAGGTTCCAAACGCCAAACACCACATATGCTGGATCACTGTTGCCGGAGAAACTTAGTCCCCAGCAAGACTCGCGTAGTTGGGGTTATCATCAGCACCCGGGGGGGCAGTGACAGCAGAACTAGGAGGAGGCAGTGCTTGACTAGCCCCGTGGGAGCCAGCCTCGATACCGCCGCGATGTTGGGGCCTTCTAGGGATCCCAACTCGGGCGTCGCGAAGCATTTGCCCTCTCTCCTCCTTATTCATTGTACCGATTGCCTTGGGTTGCCCCCATCGAACTCGTAATGGGCAACCTGCAATAACAGCCCGACCCTGGCAAGCGGCGGCGGCCTTTTCGGCCGCTGCTCGAGTTTCGTAGTTGATAAAAGCGCAATGTGACATATGTGAGCATACTAGGCTCTTGATCTTTCCATGTACCTTGAAGAACTCCCGTAGCTTGAACTCGGGCAAGTCGTCCTCCACACCGGTAATAAAAAGGGACATGATATTCTTGTCATCGGGTGGAAGCCAGTCCTTTTCGCTTGGGGGTAGTTGCGCAGCGCTGGGAAACGCTTGTCGTCCTTTCCCGCCTCGTGGTCTGGCACCTGCCGCCGCTGCAGCCCTACTATCTCGAGTTCGGACAGGACCTGGCCCGCCTTGTCCAGCACCAGTAGCTACGCTGCCACCGTAACTGTTCCCTGCAAGTTCTGATTCATCGACAGCTCGACCTTTTCTGAAATAGGGCTTGCTGTTCGCCAGACGGCGCAGCAGCTCTCGTGCCTTTTCATCCGTTTTCTTGTACTCTTCGAGTCCTGCTTTGCCATCTTCGATGAGCTTTTCGTTGTTCTGGGCAAAGTATTCCCTATTGATGTCGGACTGTGGACCGGGTGCAACCATTTTGAGCGCAGCATCTCGAACAGCGATGGGGAGGCCGAAGGAAAGATCGAGCATACAGCTCTGGCAGCAGTTCTTGAGTCGGGCGCAAGTCAGGCAGATGTTGGTCTTCTTTCGTCGGTTTTGAGCTCGGTCGGCCCCGTTCCAACTAAATACAGTAAATGGTCTTGTGCACTGTAACCGATTAGTATGACGGCTGTCGCAATCAGCATATGTGGAGATGTTTGATACGTACCAATTTGCATTCAGCACCATAGTCTTCCTTCAGCATTTTGACATAGGGATTTTCGGGTAGGCAGTTTTCGCACACTGAGGGGAAATCTGTGCTCTCCCATCCTGATCTATTCAAGTCCTGCTTGATTTGGGGCGGCATGGTGATGTAGTGTCTTGAGAAGCAACAGAGGATGCGCAAGGCAAGATTGATGATGACGGGCTCTGCATCCAAGACCAGAATTCTTCTCGTATCTGCTAGTTACCCGCCACTCAAATCGCGACAGCCAAATTTCTGCTGACCTAACGCTGTGGCGTAATTCACCTTATCGATATCAGGACTTGCCTGACTAAGCATGGTGCTCTTGGCTTCCCGACTCAGCCACTGATGTGGAGTCGGTTCGCTTTCGTATTCGTAATTGTTGTTTGAGACCGCCTTCTGTTTCTGGCAGAAAATGGCCATGAAAGCAATCGCCAGATCCCTGGGGCAGAATCGATTCCAGGAGAATACGCAGTGGACCAAGATGGTCCAATGAGGGTGCCCCATTTAATCCAATCTTGCCAGGGGCCGCCAAAGGGGCGGCAGAAAGGACAAGGGAAAAGAGGACCTTGAAATTAAATGAACACAGGCATGTGAGGGAACGCAGAAGAGGACCATAAAACCTTCTCTAAGCACTCCCACGATCACTCGTCTCCTTCCACGTCTGTCGTTCTCCTACTCTCCCTTACAAAAGTCTTCTCGACGTCGTCTGTATCATAACATAAAAAAACTCATCACGAACCTTCAACATGGCTGCCAATTCAAATCTCGAGCGCGAAGATCACTCCCGCGATGCAGCCTTCAACAAGGCCATGCACGGCAAGTCTGCCCAGACTCGTGGCGGGATTGCAGCAATGTTTTCCAAGGGTGGCGAGGCCAAGAAGGCGGCTGTTGACGAGTACTTTAAGCACTGGGACAACAAGCCTGCCGAGAACGAGACTGCCGAGGAACGCGCTGTAGGTGTTGTCAAGAATTGCCGACAGAAATAGCGAGACTCGATGGCTAATTCCTGGAAAGGCTAGAACTGCCGAGTACGCTACCTTGACGAGACAGTATGTTTTATTAGCACCCCTCGGCAACAAAATTATGCTCATCAACTGCTAGCTACTACAATCTCGCTACTGATCTGTACGAATACGGCTGGGGCCAGTCTTTCCATTTCTGCCGCTTCTCCCTTGGCGAGCCCTTCTACCAGGCCATTGCCCGACACGAGCACTACCTCGCCCACAGCATTGGTATCAAGGAGGGAATGAAAGTCCTTGACGTTGGTTGCGGTGTTGGGGGCCCGGCCCGCGAGATTGCCAAGTTCACTGGCGCTCATATCACTGGTCTGAACAACAACGACTACCAGATTGACCGTGCTACCCACTACGCTCAGAAGGAGGGTCTGTCCAACCAGCTGGATTTCGTCAAGGGTGACTTTATGGTGAGTGGAACGATTGCGAATGCCGCATTTTTTTTTTTTTTATTTTCCCATTCGAGGCGGGGATCGTTGAATATGAAGACCTAACAGGCTTGCAGCAAATGTCCTTTGAGGAGAACACTTTTGACGTCGTCTATGCCATCGAGGCTACGGTCCACGCCCCTACCCTCGAGGGTATCTACAGCCAGATTTTCCGCGTCCTCAAACCCGGCGGTATCTTTGGTGTTTACGAGTGGCTCATGACGGATAAGTACGACAACGACAACCTCCACCATCGCGAAATTCGCCTAGGAATCGAGCAGGGTGACGGCATCTCCAACATGTGCAAGGTGTCTGAAGCCCTGGAGGCCATGAAGGCGGCCGGTTACGAACTCCTACGTGCTGAGGATCTAGCCGACCGCCCTGACCCTCTCCCCTGGTACTGGCCCCTGTCTGGTGAGCTGCGTTACATCCAGACGATTGGAGACATCTTCACCATTGTCCGCATGACGACGTGGGGCCGCACCATTGCCCACAACGTGGCTGGTCTTCTGGAGACTCTGCGTCTGGCTCCTGCGGGCACCAAGAAGACTGCAGACAGTCTGGCTCTTGCTGCTGACTGCCTGGTCGCCGGTGGCCGTGAGAAGCTGTTCACGCCCATGTACCTCATGGTTGGACGCAAGCCTGCCGAGTGAATGCGGGCGGAATGATACAAGAATTGCAAACTTTTGAGTGGGGAAGAGGAGAGCGAGTCAAAAACATTGCACACCATGAGTGTGAAGGAGTATACAAGACAAAAGAGTTATCATGGGCGAGACGAGACAACGCACATGCTATCGCCTGCCCGACAGCAGGTTGGCGTCATGAAGGTTTTCCAATATCAATATGTAATACATCATGCGATACACTTGCAACGGCATTCTCCAATTAATTAGGACGTTTCGTGGTTGTTTATTTTTTATATCTATTTTATTGTCTTTTCCCTTTTTATCGGGGCCGCAAACGAATATTTAAACGTCGCGCGTATTGTCGACGTGACTCCTACAAAAGTCACATCAAGTATCTTACCCACTGCTGGAGGCAACATGGTTCTGTGTGTGCGTGCTGCTACCCTGTATGCGTGAGCAGCAAAAGGGACCGCACTTGACGTACTACAACTTCTGCAAATTTAAATTTATTGGAACAAAGCATGTGTATTTTTCGTGGGGCGGAAAGCGTCCGTTTGTCTGCCTCGATAATACACCATACCACCTTTCCCATTTTTGAGTCAACCGAGCAGCACCAGACCCAATCCGAGGCCGCAGACGTGGCTCGCCTTTATACGGCCCGTGCCTGCTTTGTGTATGATCAATGATATCAATCCCACAAATTTGGTAATTCTACAATGTCCCTAGTCAAATGCAACTACGCAGTCACGAAGCGACAGTGTTTCAATTCCAATTGAACACAGTCGGTCTAAATATCTCGTTTGCAAACAGCTATTAGTCCTCTCATCCAACTCTCCGTTATCCGCCATGAAGAAACCGATGAGCTCCTGTATGCCGGGTACATCGGCTCCGAGCATCGCTGGGATGACTTGCGGCGCAGTACGGCTATGTGTACATGTCACATCACTCCCGGTCCCTCATATTTCGTCGCACCGGTCTCCTGGGAAATTATCAATTACACCATGTCGATTTCCGCAGTGGCCTGGCTTCGTCGCCGGTTGCAAGGTATTGTGTAACGAACCGTCTCGGAGAATAGGCCTGATCGATTCCGTACCTGGTTTGATGCGCTTGATGGAGTTGCCCTTTGGATTTGGTCTATTCTTGTCCCGGAGAGAGGAGTTCCCCTCGTTGAAGTCATTGTTGAATTGCTCAGCATCAGATCATATTCTCTCCTTTTCGAGGGTCACGATTTTTGCATCAATTGTCGCTTTTTGAACAATGAGGCTTCTCAACGCTTTGACACTTCAGCTCGAGCTGTTCCCAGAGCCGGTCCCGGAGGACATACCCTATGCTATTTAATCACACATCTGGGCCGATGATGAGGTGTTTTTTGCAATCTAAGGCTGGATTTGCCAAGATTCGCGCGGCGTGCGGTATATTTGGGTAGATACTTGTTGCATCGATAAATCATCCAGCGCCAAGCTCTCGGAGGCGATCAATTCCATGTTTCGCTGGTATAAGAAATCTACTGTGTGCTTGGTTTCCTGTCCGACCTGCCAAAGGATAGTCAAGAAACGGACCTGTCTGCCCTTGGGAGTTGCAGATGGTGAACGAGGGGATGGACTTTGCAGGAGCTCATTGCTCCAACCAATCTCATCTTCTTTGATGAAGGCTGGAACAGCATTGGAAGCAAGCTTGATCTGTGTGGTACCATTGAGTCCATTACAGGCATCAGCCGATGGGTTTTGGACGGGAGCAGCCCAATATCGTCTATTCCTCTTGCGAAGCGAATGTCCTGGGCAGCTGCGCGGGACACGACGCGGATCGAAGACAAGGCATACTGCCTCCTCGGCATCTTCGACGTCAACATTCCAATGATGCATGGCGAGGGCTCGAGGGCCTTTAATCGACTGCAGGAAGAAATCCTCGGCAAGACCATGGACGTCTCCATTTTTCATGGCAAGCCAGCGACAACGCAAACAAATATCGGGGCATTCCCGCTGAATCTCTTGCCGAGTTTCGCAATTGTGGCTTTATCGAGCCAAGCGATGACCAGTTTTGTTTCCGGGACGATATAAGCTTGACTAGCAGAGGAGTCAAGATCCAGACCGCACTCCAGTACGTAGGCGATGGCACATATATGATGGATTTGCACTGCTACGACGAGACCACACATGCTCTTGCGTTGAGGCGCCTTGGAATCTATCTCCGACGAGCCATGGACGCCTACTATTGGTTCCGATCGGAGCAAACCGCACCCGACGAAGTCGTCTCATCAAAAGGAGTCGCTCGTCCCATCTTCCTCGTGTCAACGGCAGACGACGACGCTGCCGCGTTTCTGGAAACCGACAAGAATAGCCGCAAGATTTTCATCGAGTTCCCCTCGTCCAGGCCCTCCTACAGGCTGCACAGCGTCCGAGTCCCTGAGACGTACTGGAATGCTCACGGAGCAGTACTTCTCGATTCGCGGACTCTCCAGCTTCACGTGCTTTGTACGCTTCTCCATCACGTCGATTGTCTCGCCGCCGTATGGAATAACCACAGAGGAGACCACGGCATTTATCCTTGTTTGTGCTTCGACCACCGGGCCGGACTTCCGTATCAGCCTCTACGCGCAGACTGGCCTTCAGAGTAGTGGAAAGCCAGGGGAATTCATAGATCCGTTCACTGACATTGATCAGTACGGTCCGTTGGGAGATGCCTTCAGTCTATCTATACTACGGCCTGGGGAGAGAGAAAACCGAAGGGTATCAATGATCTACAAAGACCGCCGCCACAACTACACGGTGTTGGTGGGCCTGTCTACAAAACAGACACGCTCGTCTTTTCTAAACGTCGGTGTAGAGCAGCAGATTACGGATGAGATTTTTGGCCTTGCCTTAGTCCCAAGGGGTGCGGACTTTCATCGTCGTCATAGAGAGGATATCTCTGCTGTTTAAGGGCTTCCCGGGCTGAGGAAGTTGCTGTTTGGAACTATTGGAGCCGTCATGTTGAGCCATCGTCCCAGCTGCCATGGAGAGTATCCGGGCCTAGCATATTGTATCCATCCCCGCCGTGAATGGTAGACAGTGGTTTCAGCTTGTTTCGCAAACCAGCTGTCTCTCATATCTTGTCTGGTGAGAATAGATTCCTGGACTAGGTTTGATGAAGCTGAGACTCTGGATCTATCAGCGTCGAGATGTGGGATTCTACAGATTTAGCATGGAATATACTAGCACCGATGACGTATAAAGACCTGTTAATTCAATGGTATCCTTGCTTCTGCCTCTTTTCTCTCTCAGCGAGCTGGTGATTTTCAGTGTGACTGACTGCACAAGCCATGCCAGAGCGTCACTTTCTTGTTGATACAGCCAAATATTCGTATTTTCCGAGTGGCCATTTATTTATTCCGAGTCCTTTAGAGCCTGTCGCTAGTTTCACTGCTGCAGCCCATTCATATAGCCGGTAAACTTGAGGATCGATCTGCCTGATCTTCGCTCTACCAACCTAGAGAACAAGTCAGAATACTAGCCAAGTACAGAGCCTGGGCCGCGGTTTGTCCAACATATAGGTCCAGTACAGTTGTTTCATACAAAGCCGAGGAAAAAAGGACCGCAAGCTCGAGGAATCATGGTCACTGCGTGGCAACGTAGGCGAGATGAGATTACTTTACACACACCGGACCTGTCTGGCGCGGAAGCTGCGGACCCGACGGAGCCGGATTCACAGCCTCGGGGGATATGCCTCGTTCTCGCGTACTTCGGTCTAAGGAATGGCCTATTAAAGCCCGTACTCGGTTCCAGCTCGTTCTGACTTTACCGCCTCTATCGTAACAGCCCGGAGGGAATGGATGAGTACGGCCACGGCACGAGCCATTAGGTCGGTTGTGCTGCTAGATGCGTCCCTTTGATGCATCCCGGTCGACTATTTCATCATGGAGAATAAATCTAAACGATCATTGAATAATTACCAATGCTAAATAAAACGTGAATCTATTTTCTGGCCGTAGAATGCCCCTCTTCTTTGAGCATCTTGCTTGTCTTGGCACGCCTTGTTGCCCAGAAGCTTGCACGTTTGGAGAAATGACTCGGCGCTCAATCGTGCCGGTTGGCCGTCTCCGTTAGCAGATTTTCGTATGTCCTGCACTGTGCTTTCTTGTGCAGAATTGTGCAGAACCCGCTTCGGGCTCTGATGAGGTTTTCGAAATACGGCCCATCCCCCTCGCCTTCCTCTGTCTCCCTCCCAGCTCTCCAAGCCTACCAGGTACTTCTATGTACTGACGGCTCCATCATTTGCTTCATTTTCCTTGTGACCAATAGAACTGCTAAGTTGTAACCCAAATACTTGTTGGGGTATGACCAAGGCGCTGTTTGCCGCTCCTTCTCTTGTATAGATGTGAAAGGCTGCTGGTCGACCAGACACCCAGAAGTTCACTATTCTACTGAAATTGACAGTGTACTGGGGGCTCTGGTGACACAACCATGTATAGTAGGAAAGGATCGCCCTGCCATCTGAATTGTGTGAAATGACGAGCCTCATTATCTCTTATGCTCTAGGTCGTGCCCACCAGACTCGTGTCTCGCAACATTTCAAGGCACCCACCAGCCGCATAAACAGAGGCGCAGACACCTCTGTACAGCATCTTGAAACCTTGATACGGGCCTTTGCCATCTAAGCGTGTGCCTTGTCTAATGAAAACCTTGGACAGAGCGACAGGATCAAGCAAGCGACCCCCGTCAATGGACCCCTCAAATATCGCCAAGTGTGAGAAAGGTGTCTATATGCGAGACAGTCAGTTGAAATGTACCGTGATTGGTGGTATCCAGGTTGCAAATATACAAGCTGCCAGGAATAATCATTAACAGGAGGGATAACAAGCTTCAAGCATTTTGACTCGAGTCTCAGCTCGAACGTTGTTTCCACAGCGCTACAGGCAGCACCCTAAGCCAGGTGCCAAGGGGGAAAGCAATCGTCTCGTCCAAGAAGTCGTACGACTGCTCATTCGAGTCAGCTAGGTCAGTCACAACCAAACAATACAGACGCCAGGAACCATCTGATTAGCTGCCCGGCAGCCAAAAGCGGCCGACCAGTAGAATTAAAACAAGAAACTCCTTCTACTCCTCAAACAGGAAAGTAAATGAAGGGATGGAGAGGGGATTATGCCTCACTCCTCTCTGGATTGTATTTAACACGATTATGGGGAACTTTACATTATGCATAAGCACCTCAGGGTTGCTTTGCGAAGGGTTACTGCACAACTGAGTCGCCAACGAGCAAGGCGAAGGGGTTCGCGGTTTAAGCTTCTGAGGCATATTACTATCGAGTTTCAGAATATACTGCTACCGCAAAGGGCCCGGCCCATCGTGCTGGGAATCACAGTTTTAAAATGAACACCGATTGACGATGGCTGTTTCAACTGTTTTACATACGGCCCACCATGCACAATGCAAAGCTTGTGACCTCTTGATGCTGCCTCGCGCAAAGCAGATGTATAAAATGTCGTGGTTACGCTCTCCCCATAGAATACTTTCGAGCTCCATACCGGACTATCTGATCGTGGTCTAACAGTCTCTCCCTTTGTTTTTTTTCTTCTCCCGTTGAAATGGCGCCCAACAAAGCTGTCGCGGCTGCAGTCGCGATATTAGCTGCCCAAACAGCGAGTGCGAGGCCCGTCGACGTTGAGGCAAAAGTAGTTGGAGGATCCCAAGCCAACCAGGCTGACTGGCCTTGAATCGTTTCTCTACGACGTGAGGGGCCCGGAGGAGTTCAGCATACCTGCGGCGGATCGCTGGTGGCACCCGACACTGTTGTCACAGCCGCCCATTGTAGTAATGGTAGCCCTGCTAGCAGTTTCTCAGTCCTCGCTGGGTCAAATGTGGGTTTTCCCCTTTGGTACAGCTCGTCGTGTAACAGGGCAATTCGTGCTAGTATCTCTAGTGCATATACGTGGATACTGATACTGTTTTAGGACCGCAAAAGCAATCAGGCGACTGTCGTTGGCGTAGCTAGGATTGTGAACCACCCGGGCTTTAACCAGCCACGCTGGATAACGATGTTTCTATTTGGACACTGTCAAAGCCGATCCAAGAAAGTGCCACGATTAGATTTGCCAAGTTGCCGGGGCAGGGCGAGGACCCAGCACCTTCAACTGCAGTCCAGGTAGCTGGTTGGTATGTATAATCCAGAAGTATTTCATCTCTACTGAGCGAATTTCTGACGACTGGGTTAGGGGAGCTACAAAGGACCCAAACCCTCCGCAAGGTAATCCGCCTCCAGGCTTTCCGCCTCAAGGTAATCCGCCTCCGGGATTTCCGCCTCAAGACTTTCCACCACAAGGCTTTCCACCACAAGGTTTTCCTCCACAAGGCTTTCCGCCTGGAATTATCCCACGAGATGCCCCACAAGAGCCTTCCCCAAAACTATGGTTGCCCGAGGGCTTTGACCCGTCTTTTCCGGGGTTGCCTGGTAGTGGCCCTCAAGGTCCTCCCACTGGAGGTCCTGGACTCCCAGGTCAAGACCCCAACGCCCCGGTTGGTCAAGGTCCTAATTTTCCCAGTGGCCAAGATCCCGGGTTCCCCCAGCCGCCTCAAGATCCTCAGGGTCCCAACAACGAGGAGACACTTGCGCCTCAACTCCTGCGAGAAGCTGCGCTCGAGGTCATCGACCGCAATGTATGCCATGAGGCATACCTATCTTCGCCATCGCGAATTTCGCAAAATATGATTTGCGCAGGTGTGAGCGGAGCGGCCAAGGATTCTTGCTATGGAGATAGTGGCGGTCCCCTTGTTGATGCCAACTCCAAAACATTGGTTGGTATAGTATCGTTTGGTCTTGGATGTGCAAATCCGGCTGCTCCTGGCGTTTACACCAAAGTCAGCAGCTATCTTGACTTTATTAACAACCCAAGCGGCGGCGGCAACCAGCCCCCAAACGACTTTCCCAACACTATTCCGGGAGGCTGGCCGTTCTCCTAGCTATTTGCTTAGTTATCCCAAGTTTTGTTGATCGGCTAGCTAGATATTCTATCATACATACTTATAAAGACTCTGTCGAACAGAATTTCAAGACCGTACATAATGGGCGCTTTTTGTTTACCCATGGTCATCTCGTGCAGGTCTAGCTAGGCACAAGACGTGACCATCGCGCAAAGTGTGTTGTGTGGTTTGTGTGTTGGTTGAGGGCCAATTGAGCCTTGATGAAGGAGACAAAGGCCAGCAAATCAACTTGAAGAGATTCGAGGGGACTTGTACAAGGCTGGGGTGGGCTGGCGGCTTTATAGGCGACGCAAAAGCAGCAAGAATGTTGGTGGAACTGCAAACCCCATACAGAAGCGGATCGACAAAGCCAGGCAGATCTGCGACCCTCGGCACTTTCTTCGGACACTGGAATGCGGAAATTATTCCAGCAACGGCGCAACACGGCGCAACTACAGACGAGGTGATTGGACAAGCTCCGCAACCCGGCCCGCCCGCTCCGGCAGCCCGGCGCCCCGGCCACTTCCGGGAAGACCCGTGAAGAAAGCCTGCAAAGATGTATGGTATGAATGTATTGCCTCGTTGAGCGCAAGGTGTGCAAAGCCTTGCCGCTGACGATACCGCAGTCCGTGGTACTTGACGCAAATGAAATCACGGGCATGACAATATCTGGAAATGAGAATCAAAGCGATGCAGGCCAATGGCCGAGCCTATATTCAGACGGACAAGTCCAGACAATAATAACCTGAGCAGTCCTGAATCCTTCAACCCACCGCTGCAGGTCTGCCCTGCTCCTAGTATTTCTTTGCGTATTATTAGCATTCGGCCGGCAAGATTCTCCCGGGTGGCAGATACTTACGCAGGTGCCATAATTAGGGTTATGTATGACACATGCCAGATAGCAGCACCGGCCGGGGGGACCTATGTTTGATTTGCAAACGGCTCCTGCCAGAAGACAAGATTAATTGTCATCGTCATCCCACGGATCCCATCGAGTGTATGGGAGCGCCGCCGCCGCCGCTAGCCGGATTAAACAAGACAAAAGGGCAATTGAAACCTTCATGGTGCAGAGGGACCTGATGCAGCATGTGCGATGGATCTAAGGGTGGAGCGAAGAGGCGAAAGCCCAAAGGCAACGAACAAAGGTGTGGCGAAGGATGAAAATGCGGGAAAAGCAGAAGAGGCCGTGTCTGCCGTGACGTCGGGCGACTCCCAAGAATATATACCTAGTTTGCCGTGGCGAACTTTGGACGGAGACAAGCCCCCGTGTCATCTAGAGGGTGGCACAGCTCTGTAGGAACCGACTTTTCGCGTGGTAGCTTGTGCTACTTATATTTAATATAGACGCTTGGTTGATTGGGCTGGGACAAGGTGGATCGGGGTTCATGTGGCCATGATGGTTGGTGCTAGGGGGAGTTGGGCGTGTGTTGAGAGTCTGTTGCTCCGTCCCTTGTCTAGAAGTCATATATCAATTATAGCGGGAAGCTCTCATCTCCTCGTGACTTTTGGAAATTCGGTTGGAATTTCATTGATGGAAGTTGAAAATAAAGTTTGGGCCAAAACAAATCGAGCCGGAAAACTAAAAGTAGGGATGAAAGTTCAGGTCGGGCGTAGAATTAAAGTTGGTTAGAGAGATGACATTGGCTTAAGAGGGGCCAAGACTCCGACTATGATTGCTTTAATAAACTTTCAAAGAGGGAAGTGCGCAGGTGCCGACCTTGGACTCTTACAGAATTAGGCAAGCAGCTCACAAAGCCAGTTCAGGTGCCGTCATTGCTCACTAACTATAGAACTTATCAGTTAACCATATAAAAAGAACATGACAAGGAATACATATCGGGCCATCGCGCACACTCCCACTTAGTTTTACAGTGACGCCTTTCGTCAAACTATCCACTACTTAGTCCGATATGCTTTGTTTTTGTGTAAAAACATGGTTCGAGGTTCGACTCCAGACGAGCGAAGCAACCACCTCTAAAAAGTCTAACTGTCCAGGCCTGACCATTTTGGCTAGCACCATCTAGTCTGGCAAGTTAAACCAGGTCTAACTTGACACTTGGCTAAAAATTGACACTGACCGTCTCCACCTGTTCTCTGCTAGGCCTCACCTTGACGGTCTATATTAGTGCTCCCCTATATGGCTAGACCCAACTTGGAGAAGAGATGGTCATGTCAATTAAGATTCAAATATGTAATACCGCTTGAGAAATCAATCTGTTTCGAGGATTGGGCCTGGAAAATTCATCCAAATGACAGAAAATATCGACATGAAAATGCAAGGTATTTGCTCTTTCTTCCCAATACACTACTGGTCTAGCGCTACATATGTAACAGTTTATTACCTGCAGGCAGGAAAAGTTCTGTCCGTTGCATATAGATACATATATAATCCGGAGGCGCTGTTCTCTTCACCGAATCAGGTGGGACCTGCTGCCGTTTTTGGCGTTAACACTAGATGTCAGTTGTATCTATTGTCAGTTGTGGTGTTGCGGGTTTGATCAGCGACACTGGGCATGGCCTGCACTTAATGCTTGGGAGGCAGTATTGTAAAAGTCGTTGAGTCTAGTCTGGGAGGATTCTCTTTTTAAAAAAGACATAATAGATAGTGCCATGGTATAGCCGAGATGCTGTCTGTCAACTAGTCAAGTCTGCCAAGAATGGACTTGCGTATGTGGAATGTGTCACTTACATTCCGCCGCCAAGCAAAAACAGGGATGTGAAACGCGCGCCTTGCTCTTGGCCTTTGTTAATCAGACACACAAATCAAAGTCTAAAATACCCCGAGCTAAAAAGGAAAAATGACGTCAGCACAAGTGTCAGAGTCGCGTTCGTTTTGAGCAGGGGAAACTAGGTGCCAGGGTTGCAAGCTAGGAGCCGCGCACTTTTAACCCAGACAACGTCAACCACTGACAGACATCAAGGTGGCAGATTGGTGACGGTTTATTTTGACGTTCGATTTCCCCATGCTCTAGGTGATGGGATATCAAACAAAGGCGGCCGTGTAGTCTGTCCTCGTGAATGAAAAGAAGGAACTCTATCGAATTACCTTGACTATGGAGAGAGGCACTTTTGGGTCTCGCATCTGTCGGGCGGAATAACGTGTCTGAAGCGAACTCAGCCCTACTTCAAGTGAGACAGCTCTCCGCCTCACCTAGTTCAGAACACAACAGAATAAGCTAACGGGCAATATAAGCCCAGTAATTTGGTCACCAGTAACCTGACGGGGTGCTCATCGGCATTATGGGCAGGGGGCTTTTTGCTAACAATACACAGTATATACAGATGTAGCTTATAGAAGGTGCCTCTCTATTTCTATGAGAAATCTGCTCACCATGTTTCAGCGATCAAAATTGGAGGCATACGAATGCAATGCCAAACTATCCGTTTCTCAATACGTTGACGGCGCCAAATATTCTATACTGATTAGAGCCAAGGCATGATCGACGCAAGAATCGCCACCAAAGCCCGCTATATAGAACCGTCAAAAGTTCGATACCAGGTCCATAGTTCCATGGCCACGGTAACTGCTATCGGCGTCGGCATTTGTTTGAATTACCCACCCGTTACCCGCATCATCCTGGCAAAGCCGTCAATAGTTCCTTTGTTTCATGTGTTGGGACCGTGGGGCTCTCGCCGATCGACTTCGGCTTTCATGACATAACCTACTGAACACGATTCATTCGGATGTACATCCCTCGTCTGAGAACGCCGCCGAAGCTTTCCGTTTATGGAAAAATGAGTACTTTTACTATTGCAGGAATCTAACGGTAATAGTTGTATCGATCGGGGCACAACTGCCGGTAAGCTCTGAGGAGCCTTGATGTCGTTAACGACATGGTACCGATCACTTGATCAGATGGAACTATGTCTTTTTTCGGTTCGGCGTCACCCATACGCTAATTTCTGTTACACGCTAGGGGCTCTAGTTAGCTTGTGCTTTGAGCCACCCAAGTAGGCGAAAGACACGAGTCAAATACTACAGCTCAATCTCCATTTCACACTGCGACTTTACTTAAATTCAATTCATGGAATACAGTAAAAACATGGCTCGGTTAGCAAAAGGCTTTCAGAACGAGTACTTCCAGGCAGGGCTTAGTATCACATAGGCTTCATGCAGACTAAGTGCGGATCCTTGGCTCGCGATGCGCTCACTTTACGCAACCTGTAATATCTGAGACAGCATAAACGTGTCTATTCTGCGTATCATAATTCGAAATGAAGGAGAAAACCAGGAACGATGTGGATCATGAGACGCCTTTCCAGCATGCTCATGAAAATCTTATAAGGCGACTACCTGCAGACTCGATTCTTCAGACAGCTCTTCATGACACCTTTTAACACCTCCACAGCGCCAAGGTTTTAAATCTTTTCTTCTTGCTATTGTCTTCCCCTGAAAACGTCAACTCAAGTCTGCCAAAATGAAGTTGACTGCCGTCATTGCTGGTGCCTCTATTCCCTCTGTGGCGTATGCCAACATTGGCGTCAACTGGAAATTCCCCAACGCTCCCAAGACTGCGCTCAAGGACGTGACTTTTCCAATCAGCATGGCCAATGCCAAACACGAAGCAGGCTACTTTTTCGCTCAGCAATTCAAGATCAATGGCGCAACAAAGATCGCATATACTGGCCTTCAGCCTCGTCCGGATAAGAACGGGCAGAGCATTGTCCGCGCTGTTTTTAGCTCATTCGAAGCCGGGACTACGACTACTCACCCCAACTGCCGTGACAAGGCCGACGGCGGGCCTGGAGTGAGCTGTACTCTCGAGATCCCTGGAGACTACGCTAATACGTTCGACCTCACAATTGAGTATGTCAGTGGCACGACTTGGCGCGGCACTCTGACTGATACTGTCACCGGCAAAAGTGACGAAATTGGTATCTGGACTATGCCAGTAAAGACTGGAAATATTCAGGCAAAATATAGCGGGTTTGTTGAATATTTCCCATGGAATCGAAATTTAAAGCCAGGCCCAGATTGTTCGAAATCGGTCAAGACCGAAGCCACGTTTTATGACCCCAAGTCCAAGACGGGCGGTGCTGGAGTCCTTGACAAGCCTTACGACTATGGACATTGCAATAAGCAGGCGAATTTCAAGCAGACCAAGGTTCGGGGGGGATATACTGTCAACTATGGGATAAACTAGCGTTTAAAGCTCTCCATGTGCAGCCCGAATCGTGTTGCTTTCCCGAATAACAAAATACCTCGATTGTTGGAAGTAGGAGGGGTCGCATTATTCTCACCTACAATCGACACTAGATTCTTCAAGTTGGGCGCGGGGTTAAAGATTTGCTTGTGGCATAGCTTACTTTATGTGTAGCATATTAGGTCTAGAATATAGCCGTTTCTTGCTGCTTATGCATTTTCACATGTGTCAAAATTCTCGCAACTCACTGATTTGACGGCGTATCTGTAATTACTATATATATTTCTAAACTACTAGTGCTTACTGCACACTGCCTACAGTCAAGACCGCTGAAGGCAGTCCGATTGTTATCCGATGTTGTGGCAAGCACGGCGCCGCGCCTTCTCAATTCTATATGTACATATGTGGTCAGATGTCTTATCCTTGGTGATGACTTTCATTTCGTTATTCACCTCTAATATTCGAGAACTTGGCTGGACAAGACGAAGCATTTACTGCTCATGTTTGTCATGGTTTAACTAGGCCAGACAAAGGAAAACGACGCACTTCCAGAAGTGCCTTCTACAATTAAACTTAATATGCCTCTTAGTTGCAGATAACCCTTGTTTTTTACTCGTTGACAATGTTCGAGCACAATTACTAGTGCGGGGGACACGGCGCCTCCCAGACTACACGAGATGGAGTTTGTCCTTGGAAATTATCTTATTCCCTCTAATAATAGTAAAATGTATAAATGAAATTAAGCGTCGCATGAATATCGAACAGATACGAGACTTGCCCTGAAAACGCTACTACGTAGTCTTGTAGGTGGAGTGAGGCAGAAGTGCAAGGCGACTTTCCTTTAATCAAGGTATTATTTGAGTGCGTATGATCGCTGAATTTAGGGTTAAATAGGTTCACTTTTCGCGGTGGAAATTCGCTTTTCTTCTCAACTTTGTTAGAAGACAGGGCGTTAGTACAACAGCCAATAGCTCACTAGAAACCTGGCGTTTAAGAACGCTTCTGGCGGCGGAGCCGTGATTGGCCGTTTGTGTTAAAGTAACAGTGTAAGCTGAGTATATTGACAACTACCTACACTAATATTGAAAAGGTGAATGAGAAAAAAAGTTTTATTAGCCCAAGGAGCTCTTAAGCTCATGATCTCGACGCAGCTCATCTTGCTTGCCGGAATTAGGGCCGGGGCGGAAACGACAGCACAAGCCGAGCCGCCGCCGGTCTCAGCGCGTTACAGGACTCAGCGACTAGTAAACGTTCCCATCCTTGCCACTCTGTTCGTCTCTAAGTTGCCGATAAATCATGTCGCTCTTCTGACGACAGAAATCAGACATTCCATTTGCTGTCTCGTAATCTTGCGGAGAGCGAAAGGCGGAGTTTTCGAATGACTGGACCTGCAGTTACTCTGTAAGCACTCCACTGATAGTCCGCGTGCATTTACTCGTCAAGAGTTACCATTTGAAAGCACATTCTAACTGCAAATTCCCTACTAATGTTCATAATTTCTTTTCCAATAGCCGGGTTGACTTCTGGAGTTGGTACGCCCGGCGCGCACGCTTAGGTAGGAGCTTGAGGTACCCTGGCCTCCATCTTCCCGGCAGAAACAAGACTGCCGAGAGCTGCGATAACAGCGATGTACTTCATAGTGGATACGCGTGAAATAAAAGTTGCGACAGAATTCGGAAAACAGATTGTTATTGGGTTGTGATGTAAAAAGGTAAGCATGAATCACAGGTAGAGGAGAATCTTTCTACCTTTATATAAATTTCGTGACTACGCGACGAAAGTATTGAAAACGTAGTATCAATTAAATTAATAAGACGCTAGATAGATTAAGGGCATCTAGTAACGCTATATTTCATGGGAACATATTTACTACCAGCTATTATTGGATAGTAGCTGACCTGTGCCGGGATAGTTGACAGATTACTTTAAGCTTAAAGCTTGGCACTTACGCGGCCCTGAGGGCTGACTTGCATGGACGTAGGCCGGAGGTTACGTACCTCCTGGGTATTCGCCATTAATTACAGAAAATATGTATCCCCTCTGGTGTGTTAAGGCTCCAGTGAGGTATCTGCAGGGATGTGTATCTAATAAGAAGCTAGATTCTAAAGGGTACATATATTTACTAGTAAATTAGGTGATAATAAAAGTCCTAATAAGAAGGTTTATTATAAATTGCTATATCACATATATCGCAGCCTTAACACGATTAATGGGCTTAGTGCCAGCGATTAAGGGCATTATTAGACAGGGCCTTAAGAGGCTTTTAAGAGCTTTTTAACCGAGGCTTTTTAACCTAATAACCCTAATAAGCTAAGTAACGCGATTTTTTCCCTCTTTAAATAAATTTATACTGTGATACTAGCGTAAATTCGTTCTCGGCTTAATATTATTATCTGGAGCCGCTCGTCTTTTTATAGGCTTTATAAAGCTTATTAATTAGCTGCTACTACTATTAAAGCTATAATTTATAGCGCTTAAAAATAGGCTCGCTATAAAGCTGTAAGATATAGCTGTTAATAAGTGAAATATTAAGTAAAAAGTTCCACGCTAGAGCCTACTAGCCGCCCCTATAAATTTTATGTTTATACCCTATTAAGCTTCTTAAATAATCACTAATATTTATTACGTTTATTTAATCGTTATAATTAACCGTAATAAATGGGATTAAAAGCCCTTTCTCCGGCTTATCACTAAAAACTCGCTTAATTTCCCGTAATTTTAATTATATTAATATTAGGTCTTACTATAATCGTAGTTAATACTTAAAATTAGTGTAAAAGGTAATTAAAAATAATATAAGGGCGTTATTCTTCCACGTGATTTAAAGCACTTAAGCTACCTAAGATAAATTAATAAGGGTTTTCCTAATAATTATATTATAAATAACTTACCATTCCGTTTTTTATTAAAATAGCCTTTAAAGTGCCTTAAGGCTAATACTAGCTCTTTATATTATAGGCCTTAGCTATAATAAACGGCTTATAAAGGCTATAATTAACGCGGTAGGTACTTATAGTAATAGCATTTAATTTACGAAGGGCCTTAAAGAGGTTAGGCGACGAAAAGAGGTTATCTAGAAAGACGTGGTATATCTGCCGCGGTAGTAGATTTACTAGGGTAATAATAACGCTTTAAGTTAGGTTAAGGTAGATTTTATTATTGTCTTTAAGCTTTAAGAATCTCTTTTATTTCTAGTAGCTAATAGGGCCTAATAGAGCCTTTAAGTCGTACTAAATCTACCGTAAAAAGAAGCCCTATTAGGCTGCAGCTTAAATTTTAAAGCCTTAAGGTATTAGCTTGAAAGAGATGTGTATTATTTAGCTTAATCTCCCTAAAAAGCGCTTTATAGCCTTATTGATAGCGATATTTATACCTAAATTATAGAGTTTTAAAGACGCCTTTTATATTTAGTTAAACCACTTATTAACGTGAGTAAAAGAGCTTTTTTTAATATCTTTACGTTTATATAAGAAGATTCGTAAATGCTAGAAAAGCTACTAAAATTAATTAAATGTTATAAATTTAATAATATTATACGTAAAGTGCTATTAATACTTTCTATAAATAATTCAATAGCTTAAAATCCTTTATTCCTTATAAATTTCTATGTAAATTAATATCACGAGTTATATATAGATTTCTGCGCTAGTTATAGGCTTTTAAGTGTTTTTTTAAGACCGTTTTTAAGGGAGGCTATAACTACTAGGTATTAAACCTTTATTCGTGTATTTAACCTATTTTTTAACTAGAAATTTAGGTATAAAATACTAGAAAAGAGTAAGTGCTAATAATAGAAGAGGTTAAATTAAAGGCTCGTAATATATAGGTTAAAAAGAATAAAATTTAGGCTCGTAAGCCTTAATAGGTAGGTTATTAGAGTGGCACGTGTTATTAGCTACTTGCTTACGTGTGCTATTTTTATTATTAATTAAAAATTCGCCCTTAAATACCCTTAATACAGCTTATTATAAGGGCTACGAGCCTTCTAAGGCTGCTAGAATGTTAGGAGTTATTAGTAGCTTTATGAAACGCGTTATATAGTGTTTTAGTGTGCTAAAATTTAGGCTACTACTAATGTCACCCGAGGTCACCAGTTGCCGGCAGGGGTGTTGTGGGGCTCGTGACCCCACTAGAGCCTTAACACACCAGAGGGGATAGGGGTTTGACGTTTGTCTCGGGTGTGAATGGACCGCCGGAAGCATAAGGCTGCGTCGTGGAGTATATGTATCACAGAGGCCCCATCAATTAGAGTTTAGACCCTGAATATGTAGCCAGATGTGACACGAATCAATGATAAGGGGGGTTAAGAGATGATTATTACAAAGAGCGTGTAAGGGGTGAAGTGTACCTAATAATACGAGAAAAATCTCCTATTAGTATAAGTTATTATTATAAGAGCTATCACCCTCTTCTTATTTAACTTGCATTATAATTAACAGCTACTAGTAGAAAGAAAAAGTATTATTGTAAAGCCTCTTCCCCCACGAACTTTCTTATTAGGTTACTCATGGCTAAACTTCTAGGAATTGGCCTGTCAAGTCGCTTACGTCGAGTTATAACCAATTTTATGCTCTGAACGGCGGTTTCCACTCGATGGCACGATTGATGGCACGATTTAGTAGGTTAGCACATGGGTCCTACTACTTGGCGAGTCAGTAGTTGGTGTTCTCAATGCAGCCTCGGAATAACAGAAACTGATGAGTTTGTGTGTAGGAATGCCCTGTTTTTCTTCCAGCTGTTTAGTCTGGTATACACTATCCTGTCGGCGGATCCGGCGTACATGAATACCATCGTTCTTGGCCTTTAATGGGGTGAAACAATGATTTGATCTTCTCCTCTCATCACATTTGCATTCAACGCCTTAGGCTTTTGGGTTACCATTCTTTCGAGCCGAATCATGTGTACGTATGGCGCTAGGCATCTTGCCTTGCTGCCGCTCTCGTACAATTTGATCGAGTCATGATGCAACTGGTATGCCCATATAATGGATATCATTTGCCAGAGAGAGCACGGACTGTGGAAATACCCCGGTGAAGATGGACGGCTCCAAGGGCTAGAACCATGCGAAGGCTGGGTGGGAGTCCGTGGACCAAGCAGTCATTACAACCATTCCATTTGTTACCGTGTGTCTACAATCCAACCCCTATAAGTTTAGCCATGAGTAACCTGACAAGAAAGTTGGTGGGGGTTATTTACAGGGACTTTTCTGTTAATAGAAGCTGTTTTTATTTATGTTAGTAGCTGTTAACTATAATATAGCTTAAATAAAAGGGGAGTAGTAGCTCTTATAAGAGTAACCTTTATTAATAAGAGATTTTATCGCGTTATTAGGTACTTTAAACCTTTACATACTCTTTATAATAGTAATATCTTATTTGCTTTAACCCCCCTTGCTATGTCACACCCTGGCTAAACATTCAGGGTCTGAATTGAATCTAGCTGAGCTGTGTAGCAACTTTCTGATATTTTTATGCAGAACTGTGGTCGGTCTTGCAGGGATTCTAGGTAAGCATCTATCGTTTACGTGGCCCCGGTACTTGTACTGCTGCCATCGCATAAGCATAATGTTCCCCTACGAGAGCAATCAACGACTCTTCGGTAGGCGTAAGGGGGGGCAGTCGGTCTGGCAGAGGGCTAAAGTCGAGCCAATTATCCCCGGTTATGCACTAGTCAACACCAATAAAAGAGTCAAACTTGTTGCGCAATGTGACAAGGGCTGGGGTTTGAGGGCTTGGAGCAAAAGACTCAATTCAATGATTATCTTGTAGGATGTCAAAGGTCCCTAGTTCAAGAAGAACGAGAGGGCCAGAAGACCTCTATACATACATGGAAGGAATAAAAAAACTCATCCGATGGAGCGCATTGCTCGGGCGGCGAAATGAAAGGACCTGAATAGGCGGGGGGTTATGAAATGTGAAGCTAGGATAGTAAGCAGACCGTGAGGGGAATAAAAGCATTAGTTAAAGAGTGGATTGAAGTCAAGAGTATAAGTTTACGAAGAAGAGGAGGTTTAATGTCAACACTTTATAAAAGTCTTGTAGCATAATTTTTTAATTGGTTTATTCAAATGCCTCCGATGCTCATAATACCGTTCATCTTGCAACCACCCACCACCAAACCGAGGAGGAATACCGTCAATGGGAAGAAAAACCTCTCGCTCCTGTCCGTATCCACCTAATCCATTTCTACCTTTTAGTTCGACACTTGGCGGATGAACTATTCTTCGAAGTCTCGGAAAAGTCTACCAGTATTCCACACCCCCTTTTCCTTAAAACCTCTGGATTCCAAAAGGCATTTGATCCTTTCATAGTCCCACGGAGAAATCCCGTAGCTGTGGTGTCCCTGATACAACCACTTTACACTGGATTTGTACTTGTAGTCTGCGGGTCAAGGATTGCACGGGTTAACGGGCGCGGGATTGCGTTCGGGAATGCCTGAACGGCATTGTGACCGAATACTTCATGAGCGGAATACGTCCGGCCGCCAACTGAATAACAACGCGTGAAGTAGAGCACCGAATTGCGGCATCTAGCCCCAATCAGGAGCGCCGAAAGGCTTTACCCCGAGAAGAGAGGATCGCAGAGGCTGCATATTACTGTAATTGATCTGCAGAAGACGCCGCAAAACTTTGCCAGTTGCTTTGATGCCATTTAAGGCATCCTCTACTACGTCGCTGTCTTCTGAATCTTCTGAAGCCCTTGTCTCTGAACAATGGCGCCTAATAAAACTTATGGAGAGATGCTAGTTGGCCTATTAGGGCGTTATTTTCTGGTGGTGTTGACACTACCATTCCCTGGTTATTAAGGTCCTTGCGGAACACTCTCTCCCGTTTCCTTTTCCCATATACATCCAACAAGATGACACTGAGATCCTATCTACAGCATCTGAATTGGGGCCTGACTGTTGACGGGATCTCCAGGTTGACAGGAGTCACAAGGCATCCGACACCATTTCACTTCACCTGTCGGATATACCTTGGATCCAACATCTCCATACCCCCACAACTGCTTTCACACCGCCTATTGTACACATTCTAGCAGTTATAGCAATGGCACATTATATGGCTGAGACGGAGTTATTTAATATTGACCTAGAGGTGGTCGATTTACTCCGGGATATGAGCCACGAAGACCTTCGCTCTTTCGCAGCCATGGAAGAACATCGCATGAACAATAGCGAGATGAGCCAGCGTAGGCTATCCATGGATGATCTAAATCGCGCCGTCGACGTTGTCAATATGGCAGTAGATGCCACTCCGAAAGACCACCCCGATCGAGCTGGTCGGTTAAACATCCTTGGAATCAACCTTGTCAGGCGATTCGACCGCACCGGGTCCATGGATGATCTGAATTGTGCTCTACTCTGCTTTAAACAAGGCTGGGCTTGTCATACCGCTCCCCCATCTATTCGCATTCATCAAGCTCGGAAGGCTGCTCGCATCTTCGCTTCGCAGTTAGACTGGGAACAAGCAAGCACCTTGCTACAACACGCCGTAGACCTCCTTCCCACTGTGAGCCCACGCTCATTACAGCACACTGACAAGCAGCATATGCTCGCAGACTCCGCCGGTTTAGCCTCTATGGCAGCAGCCACGGCTCTCAATGCGGGAAAGGACCCTTATTACGCTTTGCAATCCCTCGAACTCGGCCGCGCTGTGATTGCCGACACTCCTCTGTCGACCCCACGCCCTTCCATCAGCCGTAGGTACTGAGGCATTCGCCTATCCAGCCGAATGACATGCATCTGTTTGATCGGCAAGGAATTGACGCACCTAATACTCCACTCCCGCTGATGATGACTGTCCTGCCTGCTCTGCCCAAGTGAGAGTCCCGTTAGCGTTAGCGTGAAACCAGTTTCCCGTTGTCTCGTCCCACTCCCAATATGGCTTATCGCGTCCACCTTCCTGTGCTTGAACATTGTTAGAAATGCCACTGCTAGATCTGCTACCTGTTCTGCGCGACGATGAGGATTTGCGCCTCTTCCCACTGCTGGTCGCAGAGGAATCAGAAGGTGGCAGGCGGGACTTGGCCGCCTCGGAAGATCTCATCCTGCTCTCTTCCAGAAGGCTATCAAGGCAATTCTGAATGTCCTTCAATCGCCTGTCCTTCCCCCAGTCGATAATGTTGCGAATGTACTTGCGGAATTCCAAGAAATGATCTGGCCTCTGAAGCAAGAAACTCTCGACATTCGCCATGTAGTAATCGAGCTCGTTGTGCTTCCATGAGATGTACAGTCGGGCCTCTGTGCCGCTCATGGCGACGCTGAATGCCGCAGTGTTAACTGGCTGGATCTCCGCACTCTTACAATGCCTTAGCTGGCGATTAAGGCGTTCCGAGATATTGACACAAGATGCCGACCCGCCCAAGCATTGATTCGTCGCCACCCAGAGACTTCCAGTCCCAGAAGGTCCGTCACCCTTGAACTCGATGACGAAAAATGGACAAATCATATTCTGGCTGTTTGCGACCATTGTATTGCCCATAGAGTTGAACTGGGTTTGCTGCGCTCTTGTAAACGCCCCATTGCGGGTATATCCATAAATCATACCTGGGACTGGATTGCTGACTTTGAGCTTCGAGCCGCTATTGGGAACAGTGTGCCTAGCCATCGGTTGTCTGTCGCTGCGCTTTAGACTGTCCGACGACTTGGGATCATGGAAAATGTGACTATTGAAATACTTTTCCACGTCCGGTTCTGCTGTACCTAGCGAGAGATCGTACAAGTCCCTGTTTTGCCTGGTCTCATCTAGCGACGGACCCGGAGAATCACGGTTTCGGCGAACATAATCCACAATGCTGGCAACGTCTTCAAGGATTGGATCGCAGGGATGACACATATAGATATTGTTCGCGGCTAAGTTCGTTTCTCGGTATAAGGGGTCCTCGACTAGGCTTCTTCCAGATCGCCCTGAACTAGGCGTGGCACCAGTGAGGTCCGACGGTGCGACGGATCTGGCATCTGCATCTGTTCGGTACGACCAAGAACCAGTAGACGCCGGGGTCGGAGGTACCACAAACCCATCGGCATCCCGTACATGGCCCATTTCCGGCGCCGATTTCGTGACTTGTCTTGAAATGATGTCGTCGTATGAACGGCAAAGGTAGCTATCCGACCGACAGCGTGACACTGGATCCGACCCGACAGACTCGAGCCAGTTGGAGACAGAGGTATGGACAGACGCGGAACGGGTATTTAGATGGATGGGATCAACGAAGTCTCTGAGGAACGAGGCGTGAACACGCTTGGTAGAGCTCGGCTTTGGGTGTTGTAGAGTCGTCTGTTAGACTGTCCATTAGTGGTTGGTCGGTCTCCATGAGCGAACGTTGTCTTACCTTGTTCACCTGGTCTGCTCTCTTGTTGTCGACTCTAGGTTGTTGCGTGTCTGCCGGCGTCAGTCGGGCTCTCTTCGCTGGTAATGGATCGAGTTCAGTTGTCGCCTCGCGGTGTCTTTTCGAAGTCTCCACGAGCACCGTATCTCGAGCGAGATCTCCGCCCACTGACGATATTCTTCTGTGAACTGACGGAAGTTCTGTACCTGATGAGTTAGCAAGCCTTTGACTTCTCCAGAAAGGGCCGTGGGCACCTCCACCAGTGTCTGCAACAGCGTCCAACAATGCTTCCTGCAGGGACTTGGATAGTTTCACACGGGAATGGCGCGCCCGCGACTTAAAGATGCCGCCGTTCATAATGGGGGCGCGTCGGTGCGAAGGAAGGATTAGTTCTCTGTTGGCGCTTACGGTGGCCGGCAGATGGCCAAACGTGAGACGCAGGATCGTTGGTTTGTCGAGTGCAGTTGCGAAGAGAAGATGTATCGAGGTGGTCTCTGGCTCGGCGGCACGAAAATCCACTCCGCTGCTGCCGCAGCGGACACTCCGGCGAACGACTGGCCGTCGTGATCCTTCAAAAAGTAGGGTTGTCTCAGCGTTGACTTCTCATATCCAATCCGGCAAACGGACGGATTAACCGCAGGCCAAGGATAGGTCCAGGCAGACACAACACTTGTTGACATGTCGTACGACAAACATCGCGGCGTGGCTGAAGGACGGCCCGCGTGAGTTGGTTTTGCTTTGTTTTCAGACCACACGGCGTTGGTCAGACTTCCGACAAGCTGTCCCAAAATTCTGGCCAGAAGTTGCCTTCTCCAGTCAGCTTGGCCTTTTTGGCCGGAGAATCGCTTCGCGAAGGCTCGCTTACACACTGTCGCTTCAGATTTTTGTCGCCTCGCCAGGAGCGGCCAATCGATATGGCCTGAGTGATCGATGGATCCCTTTGAGTGCGCTAAGGTGCCACTTACGTACCGAATAAGAATGTGAACTAATAAAAAGTCTTAAATTAAAAGGTATATTTTCTTATTAAGAATTCATATAATAGTATAAGTATTAATAGTTTTTAAGTTTATAAAGAGCTATATTATATTATATAAGAATTTTAATGTAAAAGGTTTTATAGCTAATCTTATTACTAAAAAGGTACCTGCTAGGTATCGTAGAAAAGTGGGTCTGTTATAAAAGTGGCACCTTAGCGCACTCAAAGGGATGCAAATAGCTGGTAGTCGTAGTTAATGGTCGTTAGCATGCGTGGTAATCGTGTTTAAGTTAGCATAGCGACGGATTTATTAGCGAAAATAACGCATAGTGACACTGGAGAGCTCCCCTCGTCCAACTATTACCCGCCTAGTTGTGTGCGAGGTTCATAATAAGAAAGTGGGGACTGTTTTAGACTGATCCACCGCTCACTTGAGTTGCATTTCTTAATTAAGCGAAGCTTTTCTATCCCTTTAAGTGCGCTAAGGTGCTACTTTTATAATAGACCCACTTTTCTACGATACCTAGCAGGTACCTTTTTAGTAATAAGATTAGCTATAAAACCTTTTACACTAAAATTCTTATACGATATAGCTCTTTATAAACTTAAAAACTATTAATACTTATACTATTATATTAATTCTTAATAGGAAAATATACCTTTTAATTTAAGACTTTTTATTAGTTTACATTCTTATTTAATACGCAAGTAGCACCTTAGCGCACTTAAAGGGATACTCTAACCCACAACTCTAGCCTGGGCATAATTAGCCTAGCTACAAGCCTAATAGGGTGGTTCGTGTCTGAAGACAGACTCTTAAATAATAGATATTATTCTGGGTATACTTGTGTAACAGGAACTCAATCCGTCGCACCCCACTATATCGTCGGGTTAACACTATACTAGTCTCGTTTCGTTATCCTGAGTCCTAACGTAACCAGTTAGGTTAGAACCTAAAATTACAGTAAACCAGGTCTATAACGATATCCTTCGTGAGGCTTTTTTCATTGTTATAAGGCGACTATTATTAAGATGCGACTATTATAGGGCTTATACCTTTAACTAAATTTACTAGGTAAATATATGTAATAATATTATAAGATACATATATAAAGATCGTGTTTTTTTTTGCCGCGTTACGAGCTTCCTACCAATCGTGTAAAAGCCGCTATTAAAGCTGTTAAAGCTGTTAAAGCTACTGTTAAAGCTTATCGCGGCCCTCATTAACGCGCCCGTTAACACGCCTGTTAACGCGGGTAAAAAAGGGCTTAATTTAATACGTATCACGTGCCACAGCTAAAAGAGCCTCGCGGCGGTTATCCTAATCCTTAAGCTAGCGTTTACAGCTTTAATTATTGCTAAGCAGCTTTAATTTTCCCTGCTAATTAGTGCGTGTATATAGTGTTATAGAAAGAATAACGCGTTAAAGGCTACGAAATTCAGCCCTTATAATAAAGGCCTAATAACGATAAAAACACTAAAATATATAGTAACTAAGCCTAAGGTTAATGATATTATAAGTAATTTAACTATTAACGATTTATTAAGGAAAACCCTTAAATAACCGTGAATTATTATAAAAACCCGAATATCGCTAAGATACAGGATCGTTATAGACATGGTTTACTGTACTAAAATCTGAATGGCGCCAAAAAACATGAAGCTGAACAAAACCAGGCACACGTTAAGTTGTGGACATTACTTCGCCGACTATGAAATGGTTGTATTAATTTTAAACACTATATCTTTAATATTAATAGATTAAGCTGGGCAAACACATTCAATAAAAGCAAGGTACAGTGGGAAAAACGTGTAGGCGCCATCCTTCTAAACCCGCTGTGACAACGAAATTCCTGTGCTGCCCTACCTACGGTCGCGAGGCTCTGAGGTTGACCCCATGAACACGGGCAACATGGTTACGGAAATGGTCTAAGCTTGTTAACTTCAGATCAGCATCCCTACATTTCGGGTGGTTACACACGATAATGTTAGAGCTCTTCATAGTATCCAGAATCCAGATGTTGGCCGTCAAAATGATCATTTATCACCGCAGGACGGCAATAGGAGAAAGTCCTCTCTCCAATGGACAGAGTGTTGTCGCCGATGTAGCGAGGGCACTGCGTTTTCAGCATTAGAAGGGGAAATGTGTCTAACTCTGGTGACTCCTCCTTTATGTGAATATCTGTAAAATGCCAACTCATCGGGTCGCCATCCGAGATTTTGTGGACTCTCTTGCGTTTAATAGTCTCTCTTTTGCTGCTCAGCGCGACCATTAACTCTGTAACTTCAATGCGAAGTTTACAGTATTCTTCATAGCTTTGCTTGTCTGGCTGCTAGTGGCATAGGAGCTTAGCGAGCTGGGCTCGCTCGGGTATGTGAAGGTTAATAGCCGGCTCTGACATAATAGCCTTAGCCTCGTCGTCGCTTTCGCCTGCGAGTTGCCGTTCTATCTCCCAAGTGGGACGGTTATAAAAGTAGTATTGTTGACACTGTTTTCTGAGGGTTTTCTCTCGTTGTGTGCGCTTTGTACGAATTGTCTTTATAAGCTTTCGTATCTGATCCTCGTGTTCGGTACCTTGGACTCTATATCGTCCTTTCTTGAGCTGATCTCTGCGATCCTTAAGTTGTGCAATTTCAGGGTCCGGCGGCAAGTTCCTCAACACCTCTGCAGGCACCATGTTTTAACTGGCTCGTGGATCCCGGGTTATACTCATAGGTGTGAACAAATCAACTAGGCAGTCTTCGGTCGGCTCGTCAGCAACAACCCTCTCGAGGTGGAACTGGACCTTGTCGTTGATGTACGCGCTATTGAAAGTGGCCCATTTAGGGTCATGCCGCATCATTTGATCGCGCACGGCATCCGATGCCCTGCCTGTTCATGTCGATAATTAATACAATTCTGAATTTAACTGCAGAATAGCGGACATACCATTAGCTTTGTTTGCAGCTCCTCTACGGAATGCTCTCGGCCTAAAAGCTTGCTCGAATCCAGTATCTAGTGTTTGGCGCTGCATGTCGTCATTCAGCTTGCCGTATGGAAGGGCCTTGTCCGTAGAGACAACGGAGCCTTCAAACCCACGGAAAATAGGCCGTTTTAGCCATTTTTGCTTCCATCGAAGCTGCTGGCATTGTTCTGGACCTCTGTTGTGGATTTTGAATACATCTGCAACGGTCTTTAAACTCGGAGCGTCAAATGCCTTATCGCTAATAGCAAGGCTTATTATAATATTTATAATGCAAAACATAAGTCTTCTTGTTCCAGTAAAGAGGAAGATAGTTCTGCGAAACATTAATCATGTAATACAGGTACGAGAAGGAAGATAAGCAAATACTTACGGTTTAGGTTTTCGGTCTTCACCTTTATGATGTATAAATTTGATTGACATGGTCGGAACGTCTTTCCCAGTTTCGGGGTGACGTACAATCGACAAGAAAATATCCTCATAATAAAGTGCTTTGGGCCGGCCACTATGCTCCGTTTCCTGAGAAAGCATTTCTTCGAGCAAACGGTCAGCGTTATCTGTATCCTTATTACCATCATCTGAGTCCTCAGTCCCAGCTGTCTTTCGGCCGTAGATGTCTTGCCACGAGCCATCCTTTGGCTTCTTTTTCTCGTTATCTACAATCTCTCCAGGTCGAGCACCAGTAAATGCAAGTAGCAGGTAGCAGCCTAATAGCTGAATTCTGTGTCGCTCGGAAGGAAATATAGAGTCGTCGTAGGCTAGGTTGAAAGTTTGCAGCGCTAGCAAGTCATCAGTACCAAGGACTGGCTTGCCGTCAACGTTCGGCGGGCGCAAACGCCATCTCGTAACTAGAACTGTATCGTGCTACTTTATTACGATGTTAGCAGGGTTTGGACTAGTCGCAGAAGGTATAACAGTAAGCCGCACTTTTCGCACTTCGTTGTTGTCATTTCTGTTAAAGAATTGGCCTGTAACACTGGTAAAGAGTTGTTTTAACTGTCGCTAGTATATCCACGACGTGCTCTAGGACGTGATTTTCCACCTCTCGCATAATGTGACAAGGGCTTAATAGAGGGCTTAAAGCAAAAGGGCTTAATTTAATGATAATCTTATAGGATATTAAAGGTTCTTAGTTTCCTTTAAGCTAAAAGGTAAGAGAAGACTATCTTATATATTTAAAAGAAATAGCTTATACTTAATATACTTTATAGATCTTATAATCTCTTTATATAATAAAGAGCTTTTAATTCTTACTTAACTTAATTCGTATAATATTAACTTCTTTCTTTTATAAGCTTAACCTTAAGTAATATAAGTTTATTTATACCCTTTAATTTTAATTCTTATTAAAATTATTTAACTTATATTATTATAATAAAGACTTTATACCTTTACTTAAAAAGTATTTATAAGGCTCTTAAGTTTAATGCTTTTTAATTAATTAATCTTTTTATTTAATTAAGTACTTTACGTTATTATTATTAATCTATTAAAAGTTTTTAATTACTTTTACTTAATAATTTTTATTTACCTTAATAGGTAATACGTTTTATAACTTTTACGCGTTATTAGTTAAACTAGTCTTTTATTTATTATTAGCTTTATTTTAAATATTTCTTAGCCTTCTTATATACTTAGATTATTTAATAAGAGTATAATTTACTTTTAGAGTTTCTAGGTTCTTCTTATAATATAAACGAGTTACTTACTAAAGAGTAAAAGCTATAATTCGCGTAAAATAGCGTTATTTCAGTTAAGGCTAATATAGAGTTATTATATATAAATTCTATTATTAAAAGAAGGTCTTTTTAGTTTAATATTTCGTAGTTTATAAAGGCTTAAAGGTATACTTTAAGAGTTTAATTCGTACGCTTTATTTACCCGTTTATTTATAAATAAAAGGTAATACTTATTTAACTGTTAATTTTTATAAGCTTAAGAAAGTTAATTTATAAGTGTATTATAAATTATAAGTTTTTATTTAATATAATATCTTATAATACCCTATAATACTTTTAATAAATTTAAGTGAAGATTTAAATTAAGTTCTTTATCTTCTTTTCTTCTATTAAAAGAGATATAAAGTAAGGTATTTTAATAAAGGGGTCTATTATAACCTAAATTAAGTTATATTCGTTTAATAAGAGTAGGTTTATAATAAAGTTTATTATTATTAATTATTAAAGCTAAAAATAGAGTTTTAATAGCTAGAGAAGTTTAAAGGCTATATATTATACGTTCTTATTTCTTTAATATTTAAGGTAATTATATATATAGTTTCTAACTATTATCTTAATATTTAACTATTAAAAGTATCTTATAATTAACTCTATTATTTTATTTATATTAAAGTAACTTATTACCTTAAAGTTATATTTTAACTCTAGAATTTCCTTTTAAATAGCTTTTAAGGCTTAAAGATAACCTTTTTTATATAGAAGATTATTCTTAATTATTATTATTTTTAATAGCTTTCTTAACTTTTCTTAATAGGTAAAGTTATTCTTTATTAATACTTAAAGCTATTAAAGAAAGTTAAGGTTTTAACTCTTTATTATTAGGCTATAAATTTAATTTAACGTTAATAGGGTTATTAAGAGAGAATAAAAGTGTTTCTTTTATAAGAAGGTAATTACGTATATAGTTTTTAACTATTATCTTTATATTTAACTATTAAAAGTATCTTATAATTAACTCTATTATTTTATTTATATTAAAGTAACTTATTACCTTAAAGTTATATTTTAACTCTAAGATTTCCTTTTAAATAACTTTAAAAACTTAAAGATAACCTTTTTTATATAGGAGATTATTCTTAATTATTATTATTTT